GCTGCTGCTGCTGCTGCTGCTGCTGCTGCTGCTGCTGCTGCTGCTGCTGCTGCTGCTGCTTGCTTTGCTAGTGCTGCTGCTGCCACTGTTGCAGGTCTGCTGCTGCTGCTGCTGTTTCTGATGCTGCTGCTGCTGCTGCTGTTGCTGTGGCTGCTGCGGCTGCTGTTTCTGATGCTGCTGCTGCTGCTGCTGCTGCTGCTGCTGCTGGCGTTGCTGCTGCTGCTGCTGCCGTTGCTAGTGCGGCTGCTGCCACTGTTGCAGGTCTGCTGCTGCTGCTGCTGCTGCTGCTGCTGGCGTTGCTGCTGCTGCTGCCGTTGCTAGTGCGGCTGCTGCCACTGTTGCAGGTCTGCTGCTGCTGCTGCTGCTGCTGTTTCTGATGCTGCTGCTGCTGCTGCTGCTGCTGTTGCTGTGGCTGCTGCGGCTGCTGCTGTTTCTGATGCTGCTGATGCTGCTGCTGCTGCATTAGCTGGTAGAAGCTGCCGCAGCTTCTCTGCATGCCGCGCAGCTGCTGCTGCTGCTCTAAGCCTGCTGCTGCTGCTCCAAGCCTGCTACTGCTGCTCCAAACCTACTGCTGCTCTTGCTGCTGCTGCTGCTGCTGCTGCTGCTGCTGTTGCTGCAGCATCAATTGTGCGTATCCAGAAGTACTCAACGACATCGGCGTTTTTAAACATCAGCAATGCTGCCCTCGATTTAATTCCAGGTCCATTTTGCTGCTGCTGCTGCTGCTGCTGCTGCTGTTGCTGCTGCTCTTGTTGATGCTTTGCTGCTGTTCTCATAGGTGTCTCTTTATCTGCTTCTGCTGCTGCAATTCTGTTGCCGCTGCAGCACCAAGTGCCCAGTCTGCTGCTGCTGCTGTACTCCGCAACTGCTGCTGCTGCTGCTGCTGCTGCTGCTGCTGCTGCTGCTGTGAAGCAACAGCATCTGCACCGAAACCGTGGCTTCGCCCCCAGCTCTCTCTGCTGCTGCTGCTGCTACAGCTCCAAACGTGCTGCTGCTGCTGCTCTGTACCTGCCGCTGCTGCTGCTGCTCCACACCTGCTGCTGTTGCTGCTCCTCACCTGCTGCTGCTGCTTCAAGCCTGGTGGTGGTGGTGCTGCTGCTGCTGCTCCGCACCTGCTGCTGCTCCTGCTGCACCAAGCCTGGTGCTGCTGCTGCTCCTCCGCACCTGCTGCTGCAGCTGCACCAAGCCTGCTGCTGCTGCTGCTGCTCCGCACCTGCTGCTGCTGCTGCACCAAGCCTGCTGCTGCTGCAGCTGCTGCTGCTGCTGCACCAAGCCTGCTGCTGCTGCTGCTGCTGCTGCACCAAGCCTGCTGCTGCTGCTGCTGCTGCTGCTGCTGCTGCAGGGGTGGCGTTTTTGCATTCTATGCAGGTGTTTGAGCCGATAGAAGGGTCTTCGAAGTGGGAAGTTTTTTTATTTCCACTTTCGATGGAAACGAGAGAAGACACAGAGATAGAATACAGACTTTCTTTGCACGACGACTTGGCCCCGCAGCGCCTCAGCAGCAGCAGCAGCAGCAGCAGCAGCAGCAGCAGCAGCAGCAGCAGCAGGGGGTGGGGCAGGGGCGGCAGGGGGCCCGGAAACGAGACCTGCAAGTGGAGGTCCAAGAAAGCTGCTGCTGCTGCTGCTGCTGCTGCTGCTGCTGCTGCTGCAGCAAGCACCCCCTGGAGCAGCAAAGACAAGCTGCTGGTGGAGCTGGGGGGTTTGTTTGAGCAGCAGATGCAGCGGCGGGTCAACCGGCGCATCGCTGCTGCTGCTGCTGCTGCTGCTGCTGCTCCCGCTGCTGCCCCTGCTGCTGCTGCTGCTGCTGCTGCTGCTGCTGCTGCTGCTTCTCAAGTCATCATGAGAGTCCCCAGCGATGGACTGCCGGCGCTGCAAACTGAAAAGTTTATTCTCAAAGCAGCAGAAGACTTTCCAATTCCTTCCATGCTTTCTTGGCTTTTCAAATTCGAAAACAAAGACTACTGTTTGCTGCTCAACTCCCGTCAGCTGCTGCTGCTGCTGCTGCTGCTGCTGCTGCTGCTGCTGCTGCTGCTGCTGCTGCTGCTGCTGCTGCTGAGAAGGGGTTGCTGCTGCTGTTGGTGCGGGCGTGCTGCTGCTGCTCCTGCGAATTTGGCGGTGCTGCTGCTTTCGCGGCTTTCCTGCTGCTGCTGCTGCTGCCGCTGCTGCTGCTGCTGCTGTTACTGCTGCTGCTGCCGCTGCTGCTGCTGCTGCTGCTGCTGCTGCTCACTCCTGCTGGTCTACCGGCCTCCTGGGCCTCTCTGGCGTCGCGCGTTTGAATTTTTTTGCTGCTGCTGCCGCTGCTGCTGCTGCTGCTGCTGCTGCTGCTGCTGCTGCTTGCAGTCTACAGCGCTTTTGGAGACGCCAAAAATAATGCAACTCTTTTTTTGACTTCTTCCCAAAGAGACTTTTACAGCCTGGCGGCGCTGTTGGATCAACAGGGACTTTTGGAGATTCCCGAAGAATAATCAAAACAGCTAGCTAGCTAGCTGGCTAGCTAGCTGGCTAGCTAGCTAGTCAGCCAGCTAGCCGGCTAGCTAGCTAGCTGGCTAGCTAGACTGTTATCTGGCTAGCTAGCTAGCTATCTGGAAAGCTAGATTGCTAGCTGGCTAGCTAGCTAGCTAGCTGACAAGCTTAACTGCTAGCTAGCTAGCTAGCTAGCTAGCTGGCTAGCTAGCTTGCAGGTTAGCTGGCTAGCTAGCTGGCTAGCTAGCTGGCTAGCTAGCTGGCTGGCTAGCTGCTTTCTTGAAGCCTAAAAAAGGCAATCAAGGGAGTAAGCTAGCAGGCTATCTTACTGGCTAGCTAGCTAGCTAGCCAGGTAGCCAGCTAGCACTAGCTGCCACGCTTTGCTTCGTGGCTGGCTAGCTAGCTAGCTAGCCAGCTAGCTTGCTAGCTAGCTAGCTAGCTGTTTATTTTTTTCTGAGGGATCTCTGGCGGCCTCTCGAAGGCCTCTAGCTGCGTTTAAATGCCAGCTTAAGGGACCCTAAACCCTAGACCCTAAACCCTAAACCCTAAACCCTAAACCCTAAAAGGGTCATTGGGATTTTTTCCAAGGCCCTCGTTGGACCCCACTTCTTTGAAGTGTTAAGGGAAGTTTCAAAGACACAAAAGGGTTTCAAGTCAAGGGTTTGCAACATTTCGAATATTTATTCTTTATTGTTTTAATGTCTAGGGTTTAGGGTTTAGGGTTTAGGGTTTAGGGTTTAGGGTTTAGGGTTTGCAACATGACGCCCCTCGCATTCTTTCGAATTCAAACAGCAGCTTCACTAAACGTCGCCTCCTCAAGTGGCCCTGCACCAACAACCCCAAACCCTAACCCTAACCCTAAACCCTAAACCCTAAACCCTAAAACAGGGTTTCCCCCGCGGGCATGGTCTAGTGGCTATGACGTCTGCCTAACACGCAGAAGATCCCGGGTTCGATCCCCGGTGCCCGTACTTGGAAATAAATTCGTTTTTGAATTTAAAAAACAAATTTATTCATTTAATAATTAAATTTATTCTTTTTATTTTTAAATTAATTCAAAAAGATATTTCTGGAGGCAGAAAACCCCCCAAGTCGAACACGCGGTGTCTGTACACCCCAGCCGTGCGGTGTGCAGACACCCCGCGAGCGCTGAGGTGTACAGACACCCCGCGCGAGCAGCAACTCGAAATGGGACAAATTGTTTTCATTTTCGTTTAAATAAATCCCTTTTTGCATTTTAAATTCAATTTTAATTCTATTTTTAAATAAACTCCTTCAAACAAATCAGTTCCAGCTTTTGCTGCTGCACTTTGCTGCTGCTCACTTCTGCTGCTCCTTGTTGCTGCTGCACCGCAAAGCCCCAACTACAAACAAAACTAACCAGCTAGCTAGCTAGCTAACTACCTAGCTAGCTAGCTAGCTAGCTAGCTAACTACCTGGCTAGCTAGCTAGCTAGCTAGCTAGCTAGCTAACTACCTGGCTAGCTAGCTAGCTAGCTAGCTAGCTAGCTAGCTAGCTAGCTGGCTAGCCAGCTGGCTAGCTACCTATCCAGGCGGCTGGATGGATAGCTGGCTAGCTAGCTAGCTAGCTAGATTCCTACCTAGGTGGCTAGATGGCTAGCTGGCTAGCCAGTCAGCTAGCTAGGTGGCTAGATGGCCAGCTAGATGGCTAGCTAGATTGCTAGCTAGACGGCTAGCCAGCCAGCTAGCTACGGGCTGGCCAGATCTAGCTGAGACAGGCAACTGCTGCTGCTGCTGTTGCTGCATTTTCTGACAGGTTCTGCTCGTGCTGCAACTGCTGCTGCTGCTGCTGCTGCTGCTGCAGCAAGCTGCAGCAGCTTCCTCTCGCCACATCTCCTTGTTCCTGAAAGGCCTTAAAAGTTCATATTGCTGCTGCAGCAGCAGCAGCAATATGTGCTGCTGCAGCAGCAGCAGCAATATGTGCTGCTGCAGCAGCGCATGCAGTCGCTGCCTATTGAGTTCAGCCACAGCAGCAGCTGCAGCACCAGCCACTGCTGCTGCTGCTGCTGCAGCCACTGCTGCTGCTGCTGCTGCTGCTGCTGCTGCTGCTGCTGAATCTCCTGTCTCCTCTATCCCCCTGTTGAACTCAACTGGAGGCCAAAAAGGAAACAACTTCGCAAACTAGGGGGCCCCCAGAGGGGCCCCGAGGGGGCCCCCAGGGGGCCCCCAGGGGGGCCCCCAGGGGGCCCCCAGGGGGCCCCCTGGGGGCCCCCAGGGGGGCCCCCAAAGGGGCCCCTGGGGCCCCACGGGTGCACCCCTGGGGGCCCCCCTGGGGCCCCCATTTGAACGCTGTAGAGGCAAAGAATAATTAATTAATTAATTAATTAATTAATTAATTACTTTAATTAATTAATTAATTAATTAAATTTATTTATTTATTTATTTATTTATTTATTTATTTATTTATTTATTTATTTATTTATTTATTTTTCTGTTCATGGATATTTTCAGGGTGGTGCCAGGGTATAGCCCGCGGAGCCTTTCGCTTTTGCTGCTGCTGCTGCTGCTGCTGCTGCTGCTGCTGTTGCTGCTGCTGCTGCTGCTGCTGCTGCTCCATTTTCTGTTTCTTCTTCTATGACTAACGACACTGTTGATATCTTAAAATATTCTGAGGCCGGCTCCTGCTGCTGCTGCTGCTGCTCGACGACGACGAAGCAGACCCGCTGCTAAAGACACTGTTGATCTTTTAAAATAGCCTGTTGTTGGGGATCCTGCTGCTGCTTCGTCTGCTGCTGCTGCTGCTGCTGCTGCTGCTGCTTCGTCTGCTGCTGCTAGAGAGATTGTTGATCTTTTAAAATAGCCTGTTGTTGGGGGTCCTGCTGCTGCTTCGTCTGCTGCTGCTGCTGCTGCTGCTGCTGCTGCTGCTGCTGCTTCGTCTGCTGCTGCTGCTGCTGCTGCTGCTTCGTCTGCTGCTGCTGCTGCTGCTGCTGCTTCATCTGCTGCTGCTAGAGATATTGTTGATATCTTAAAATATCCCGATGATGGCTCTGCTGCTTCTGGTGATTTGTCTGCTGTTGCTGCTGCCGCCCTTGCTGCTGCTGCTGCTGCTGCTGCTGCTGGCGCTTCTGCTGCTTCGTCTGCTGCTGCTAGGGACAATGTTGACATCTTATAATATCCTGAGGCAGGCGCTGCTGCTGCTGCGTTGTCTGCTGCTGCTGCTGCTGCTGCTGCTTCATCTGCTGCTGCTAGAGATGTTGTTGATACTTTGAAATATCCTGTTGCTGGTGCTGCTGCTTCTGCTGCTTTGTCTGCTGCTGCTGCTGCAGCTTCTGCTGCTTCATCTGCTGCTGCTAGAGATGCTGTTGATCTTTTAAAATACTCTGGTGATGGTGCTGCTGATCCTGCTGCTCCGTCTGTTGCTGCTGCTGCTGCTGCTGCTGATTTTGCTGCTGCTGCCGATTTTGCTGCTGCTGCTGTTTCTGCTGCTTCTGCTGCTGCTAGAGATACTGTTGATACCCTAAAGTATCCTGATGATGGCGCTGCAGATTCTGCTGCTTCGTCTGCTGCTGCTGCTGCTACTGCTGCTGCTGCTGTTTCTGCTGCTTCGTCTGCTGCTGCTAGCGACACTGTTGACCTTTTGAAATATTCTGATGCTGGCGATGCTGCTTCTGCTGCTGTGTCTGCTGCTGCTGCTGCTGCTGCTGCTGCCTCTGCTGCTTCGTCTGCTGCTGCTAAAGACACTGTTGACCTTTTGAAGTATTCTAATACCGGCGATGCTGCTTCTGCTGCTGTGTCTGCTGCTGCTGCTGCTGCTGCTTTTGCTTCTGCTGCTTCGTCTGCTGCTGCTAGAGATACTGTTGATATTTTAAAATATCCTGATAATGGGGAAGATGCTTCTGCTGCTTCTGCTGCTGCTGCTGCTGCTGCTGCTGCTGCTTCTTTTGCTGCTGCTAGGGATATTGTTGATATCTTGAAATACCCTGATGATGGTGATGTTGCTTCTGATTCTTCTTCTGCTGCTGCTGCTGCTGCTGCTGTTTTTGCTGCTGCTCGGTCTCCTGTTGCTGCTGGTGCGTTGGCTGCTGTCGTTGCTGCTGCTGCTGCTGCTGCTGCTTTACCCTCTGCCGCTGTGTCTTTTTCGCGTTTAGCCTTTGCTTCTGCTGCTGTTGCTGCTGCAGCTGCTGCTGCTGCTGCTGCTGCTTCTTTCGCTTTTGCTGTTGCTTTTGCCTCTCGGTCACTTGCTGCTTCACTTTCTGGTTTTTTTGCTGCCAGCGCTGCTGCTGCTGCATCCTTTTTCTGTGCTGCTGCTGCTGCTGCTGCATCCTTTTTCTGTGCTGCTGCTGCTGCTGCAGCGCCTATATGCGTTGCTGCTGCATCTTGCAAGTCTGCTGCTGCAAAGCCTAGACCTGCTGCTGCTGCTTCGTCTTCGGGGTCCGTTTCCGTTGCTGCTGCTGCTGCTGCTGCTGCTGCAGCGTGAATATCTGCAGCAGCAGCAACGTCTGCTTCTGCGGCTGCGCATCCTAGATCTGCTGCTGCTGCTGCTGCTGCTGCAGTGTCGTGGGTTTCCGGGGCAAGTTCGTCGTCGGTGTCTGCTGCTGCGTCGTCGCCTGCTGCTGCAGCAGCAAAGCCGAGTTCTGCTGCTGCTGCTGCTGCTGCTGCTTCCCGGTGGAGACTGAGGGCCCGGCGCAGGCTCTCGGCCGTGAGGGCCCCCGCAGCAAAACCTGCAGCAACACTCAAAGACAGCCACGCCAAAAATGCTGCTGTGCTGCTGCGGAGGCCCCCCCGGGGGCCCCTCTGGAGGGTATTTCCGTAGAAGTCCGGAGAGAGAGTGGAGAGTTCGAGGGGTTCTGGGGACTGGGGAAAGCTGCGTTCTTCTGCTGCTCGCGCTGCTGCGCCTGCTGCTGCTGCTGCTGCTGCTGCTGCAGCAGTCCGCACGCGCCGCTCCATCGCGCCGCGCCCGCCCCGCGACGCCAAAACAAAGAAAAGAACTAATGCGGGACACTCGGGCGAAAAAAAAACGAAAACGGAACTGTCTTGGGCGAGATCGGAAAAAAGTTGAACTGCGCCCCACCGGCCCGCCCGAGCGGCCACCGCCGCGATCCACGCCAACACTGGCAAAGAAATGCAAATGCCAAATGGCTCTCGAAGAAAAAACGCAAAAAACGGAAATGAAATGGAGGATCGGCGGCTGAAACTGGCGGCTGCGCGCACGGGCTTTCAGGTGTACAGACAGCTCCGCGGCCGCGGCCGCGGCCGCGCGCTCCAGAAGTCTTTTTCTTTTTTAGTTTCTTCAAAACTAAAAAAGAAAAAGATTTCAGACTTTTGATTAATGCCGAATTGTTCCGTCTTGTTTGTTTTTCGCAGTTGTCTCATTTCTGGAAGCAAGTTTCGGGCGCGGCTTCAGCTGCGCGTCGGCGGCCGCAGCAATCGGCGTGGAACGCCGCTGCTTCTCTTGCAAATTGGCGTTTAAATGCGAAAACTGTTTTTTTAATTTCAAAATTAATTCTTATTTGCCATTATCTTCTCTTATTTGCTTTTAAAACGGAAAAAATAGAACAACAAGCAGCCCTTTGCCGATCCTCCGCTCCCGCTTTCCTTAAGATGCTGCTGCGCCTCGGACTCTCTTGCCCGTTTTTTGTGTTTAGTTTTCACCGAAATTAAATTCATTTTATTTATTTTGAATTTCAAAAACTCCATTTCTTTTCGAGTCGCCTTTTTCTGAACTCCTTTCAGGATCGATGAGGCCCCACTGCGCCGCAGGCGCCTGTGCCTGTAGCCTCGAAACCCTAAACCCTAAACCCTAAACCCTAAACCCTAAACCCTAAACCCTAAACCCTAATTGGCTGCGATTCGTCTTCAGATAACCCCTTGATGAAATATTAAAAGTGAAAACTGCAGAAAATGCTGTTTTCAAATTTTTATTCCTTTTCTCAAATGCATGCATGCACAAACTTGTATTTATTTAAGGATTCATTGATTTACCTCTTTATTTATTTATTTATTTATTTATTTTTTTATTTTTTATTTTTATTTTTATTTTTAGTTTTCATAAATGCGAATTAGGGAAATAAAACAGAAGAACTTCGGGTAAGCAAGAGACTTCCAAAAAATGTCAAAGTTTGAAAAATTATATTAGTTGCTTTAATTTAATTTAATTTAATTAATTTAATTAAATTAATTTAATTTAATTAATTTAATTTAAATTAATTCGATTAATTTAATTAACTTTAATATTAAATTCACATTTTGGCATTTCTTCAAATTAAAACTCCAACAGAAAATTAAAAAATAAAAAGAAAATAAACCGGAAATATAAAATTAGCAAAAAGAGGAATTTTGAAAAGATAAAAAAGAAATAATTAATTTAATTTCCAAGTTGAATTCGATTTTAATAATTGAAGATTTATTTCTTTTAATAAATTAAATACGATAAAAAATAAAGATAAAAATGAAAATAGAAATAAAATAAAAATAAAAATAAAATAAAAACAAAAATAACGAATTATCAATAAATGAATTATTTACAAAAAAAATGTAGTTGGCGAAGTTGCAAAACAAAGAAAACCCTAAACCCTAAACCCTAAACCCTAAACCCGAGTTATTAAAAAGAATTAAAAACCACTTTTTTATTTTTTAATCATTTCAATTAAATCTTTTATTTTTATTTTTGTATTTAAATCAATTATTAATCCTTTTTGTTTTAACTCATTAATTATTATAATACAAATAATCTTTTTATATATTTCACTAATATAATTCTTTACTTTTAATTTGTTTATATTCTTTACATATGCATTGCATATTAATATCCGTAAATGCATGCAAGTATATATATATATATATATATATATATATATATGTGAATATATATATATATATATATATATATATATATATATATA